CCAGTCGCTCTGTGTTTTTAGGAGTGGCCCGAGCTCCCTGGCCTAGTGCCGCTGACACACCACCTAACGGGGCTTCGAGATGTATGTACGTAGTATGTACTTTGTACCTTTGAAAAGAACCAAGATCCTGATAAAGCTTCCCGGCGTTCAAACTTCTGAAGCAGCAACCAAACACGATTCCTTTGTCACCTTGTTGGAGAATAATTCTTTAAGGTTCAGACGTCTCCTCCACAGCCATGCGACCGTGATGCCATTGTGATGTCTCTTTTTCCGGGGTAAACACAAACCATTGAAGCCAAGTTGTTTCCCCTCTTTTGGCTGTCAACCTGGTCTTCCATATCTTCCCATACTTTCTTTTCCAATGGATCCTTTGATTATCTTTTGCCTGAGAGGATTGTTCATCCATTCTTTTTGACTTGTATCTCTCTTCGTCGAGTCCCTGTCCGCGGGCAACTAGGAAGTGTTCTTTTTACCTTATCAAAGCCGTCCCGGAGCTCCCCTCGTCTTCCTCCGTGTTACGGCGTTCTCGCCCGGCATGCCGATTAGATAGGGTAGAGCTGCCAAAGGCAGTAAAGAAACTGCTTGAAACCTCCGGGCCCGGACATAAATCGGGCTCTGGACGTGCGGGCCCTAAGAAAAGTGCTGTACTCCTCAAGGCCATCTTGGCAACCACGGAAAGTCATCCCTCAGAAGGCGGGCGGGCAGGCTTGGCCAGATTCAATCGCCGATGGACTATGCCTGCAAAAGGGTGCATTAATAGCATCTCAAAAGCCTAACCCCGACGGCTTAAAGTTTTGGTGTATTGCGTCTTCAAACAACGATAGGCTGCAAGCCCGAAAGCGCACCGGAAGAGAGGAGGAGGGGGAAACGTCTCAAAAAAGGCGGTCTTTTTCTTTGGTGAGGTGGAAGCGCTTGGAAGACCCAGATACGCAGCCAGCCCCCGCCACCCCCGGCTAGGTGCCCGTACAAGCCGTGATTCGGCCTTCATTCTCGGGAAGGGAACCAGTTACTGCGATTTCTGGATCTTGGTGTCCGTCGGAAAGGCATCCGTTGGTCTCGACTTCTTTTATCTGACTGTCACCGTACCGTGCACCTACCTAATCACAGGCAGCCAATTGGGACAATAGGAGAAGGACTTGCCAGTAGAGTTCCAGCCAACCAAATAACAGAATTCATCCCCAGAACCTCAATCGATCCAATGACGTACTCGTGTGTTGCTGCTTGGGAATGCCCTTCCATCCGCCTCACCCAAGACTCGTACAAGTCACGGCTGGCGTCAGTAGTGTTTTATCCTCTACTTACCTGAGTACCTAGTCAATGACAAGCTGAACGTCTCCGCTTTTTCCAATTCGCGGACGAGTAAAGGAAGAAGTGCACTCCAGTCTCCAGATAGAGATACGCACACAGAGGAAGAGAGGTACCTAACTCAAGTCTCAGTCCCCGAACCCCCGAGACTCACGGATACTTTCCCCTCCCGAGGGGAAGGTGGGGTTTGGAGATGGTGCCAAAAGACACCCGGCGGCAGTTCTCTCCCCCTCTGCCAGTGCCCAACCTGCATCTTGGACTTCCAGCTGCCAGCTCCTCCTTCCGACCTCGTTGGAATAAATACTCGTACCCTGCCCGGTTATAAGCTAAGCTTAGTGTGCCGATTTCCTCCTTCCATCAAGGTTCTCATCGACCATCATCACACAACATGTCTGCCACTGCAGGAAAGGTATGCTCGGTTCCCACTCCAAGCACTTTACATTACATCTGTATTCCCTGCTCTGCGATTTTCTCCCATCCATTGCGGGGTAGCTCGACGACCACGGAGACGACTGAGACGCGAGCCATCTTGACAACCCGAACCCATCCGCTGACCCAATTGATCATCTACAGACCATTACTTGCAAGGCCGCCGTCGCCTGGGAGGCCGGCCAGCCCTTGAGCATTGAGGATATCGAAGTTGCCCCGCCCAAGGCCCACGAGGTCCGTATCGAGATCTACCACACCGGTGTCTGCCACACAGGTATATTACGACCCCCGCCTGAGGTCTCGGATGAAGACCCGAAGGCTGTTTACTACAACACCAGAAACTTGAGGACTGACACACTTTCCTCGGGACAGATGCCTACACTCTCTCCGGCAAGGACCCCGAGGGAGCCTTCCCCATCGTCCTCGGTCATGAGGGCGCCGGTATCGTCGAGTCCGTAGGCGAGGGCGTCACAAACGTGAAGGTCGGCGACCACGTCGTCGCCCTCTACACACCAGAGTGCCAGGAGTGCAAGTTCTGCAAGTCAGGCAAGACCAATCTGTGCGGCAAGATCCGCGCCACCCAGGGCAAGGGTGTCATGCCCGACGGCACCTCGCGCTTCAAGTGCAAGGGCAAGGACCTGCTTCACTTCATGGGCACCTCCACCTTCTCTCAGTTCACCGTCGTTGCCGACATCTCAGTCGTTGCCGTCCAGCAGGATGCTCCCATGGACCGCACTTGCTTGTTGGGCTGCGGTATCACCACCGGATACGGTGCTGCCAGAATTACCGCCAACGTCCAGGAGGGCGACAACGTTGCCGTCTTCGGTGCCGGCTGCGTCGGTCTCTCCGTCGTTCAAGGTGCCGTCGTGAACAAGGCTGGAAAGATTATCGTCGTCGACGTTAACCCCAACAAGGAGGAGTGGTCGAGAAAGTTCGGCGCGACTGATTTCGTCAACCCCACCAAGCTCGGAGACCAGTCTGTGGTCGACAAGCTCATTGAGCTTACCGACGGCGGCTGCGACTTCACCTTCGACTGCACTGGTAACGTCAGCGTCATGCGTGCTGCTCTCGAGGCTTGCCACAAGGGATGGGGACAGAGCATCATCATCGGTGTCGCTGCTGCTGGTCAGGAGATTGCCACCCGTCGTAAGTACCCCTCGCACAACCTTGTTGTAGTACGGCATCAGAAACTAACCACTTTCTCAAACAGCGTTCCAGCTCGTCACCGGGCGTGTCTGGAAGGGTTGCGCGTTCGGCGGTGTCAAGGGCCGCTCTCAGCTGCCCGGTCTCGTGCAGGACTACATCAAGGGTGACCTCAAGGTGGACGAGTTCATCACCCACAGGAAGACTCTGGGCGAGATGAACAACGCCTTTGAGACCATGAAGCAAGGCGACTGCATCAGAGCCGTGGTCGACATGCGCAAGTAAGCTTAACACAATATACCACGGGCTTCTGGTTGCGCGACCGTCTCGGTGCGTCTTCTGAAAAACAAAAAATACTGATAGTTTAATACAAAAAAAAGTGAAATCGATATCCCAGTACCGCCTCGCGAATCCAAACTGTGAAGCCAGGTGGGCGGGCTTGTGATGATGGTTTGGTCCTGGGTCGTCGGTGACGAGGTGGAACCGCTCAGCCTGTCCGTACGCGCAACGTCGCGATATATGTCGATAGCAAAATGCTCACACCATGTCGTCAAGATTCCATGTCCTTATTCACCAGTGATCTTTTGTGACCTGAGTTCGTGTGTTTTCCTCAGGTGGTCTTCCATTGGGATTCTAGACCATCCGCTTGTACAATTCCGGGGACCCGCGGCGGTGACATCCGGCGGCGCGCGGCCCCCATAGTAGACAGTCCCAAAAGTCCGGGCCTGTGCCGCCGCCCCCTACTCACCCTGCATGTTCCGGGGCGGGCACATATTCCTTCCACCTCTGTGTTAGTACGGAATAGATCTGGGTCTACCTCAAATACTAGGTGGAATCAGCACTAGCTACCAAAATCGTAGGACTCCTGTAATTATCGGATGAGGAGGAGGATGGCCGGTTGATTGACGAGTGATCCAGCAGGGTTGATTCATCATCTGGCAGGTTCTGTTAGCAAAAGACCGAAGAGAGAGCATGCTAGATGCACGCTGTCCACCACGGAAGCTTATCTCGCCGCTTTTGAGAGAAGATTCAGGTATCCTGGATGCTTCTTCGGAGCAGTTTCAAGCCAAATTACTCCGTACAGCAGCTCTTTCTCCCGTCTCTTTCATCCTGTTACCATGGGGTGGTGGACCAATAATGCTGAACAACAAGTTTGTGAGAATAGGGTGCGGTATACCCGTCTAACACCATTGAATCGCAATACATGTACGAATACGTCTTTGTCTCAATGACTATCTCGCGGATCGGACCGAGACATCTGTTCTCTATCATGAGTATAAGGCCTCTTGCTACCGTCCAGCTTGCGGTCGTACTACATCTTAACCATCAATTACACTTTATCTGAAAGGGCCGCATTATTCATTGCCCGGCCGTCTTTGAGCGAGATTGTCCGATGTCCGCGCCACATGTCTCGGAGATGTGCGGACACTGCTGAGGCTTCTATTTGGCAATTTGACTGCAGGCCTAGCTAGACTGTTGTAAAGCCGCGGTGCCGATACACTTGCTCATTTCTCATCAACCGGTGGCATGCCTGCTGTCTACTGTTTTCTTCCTCGGGCTGCTTCTTTGGGGATGAGACGGATGTCAAGCCACAGACCCCAAATAGTTATATTGGTTGAGGAGGAGTGGGACTGGGGAATCGGACGATTTTTTGGCAGAGCGAGCCGGGGGTGGTAAATAGAATGAACCGTGGGGAATCGCACGGGAAACAACATCAAAACCGTCCGGTTCACCGTTTGGCTCGTAATTTTAGGAAATAGTCGTGACTGGGGGAGGCCGAGGACAGTAGGGGTTCCCCCCCGTTGTAAATCAAGATCCGAGTGCATTGATGGCTAATTTTGATGGGCAATCAAGGCTAGACTAGCAATCTCGACGTCCGGCGTAGCATCGACTAACACTGTTGGGGGACAACCCAGAAGGCAAGTTAGAGAGGGAAGCATGTCCCCGTAGAAGGTATTAGGAGGCGGTGTAAATAAACACAGGACTGCTCCATAAATGAGGATTCCCTCAATCGGATGTTGAGCAAAGGATTGTGTAACTCACATTTTTGACACATGTCTAAAGGCACCCGGCGTTTCACTTCTGAGGGTTTTGCGGAATGCGAGAAATGACACCGAGGGCGGTTAAGCCAGAGATTTTGAGTTGACTTTTGCCAACGCACATGTGCTCTCCATTGCCATCCGAACCGCAGGATTCAAGATCCAGCGATTGCTCCAGCGATCCATCAGCGGGCGGGCCTCAAATGGTTGGGTGCGGGCCTGCTGGCTCGAAATGCAAGGCGGTCTCGGACCCTCGACAACTCTGCGAAGTAGGCGGTTATTACTCGATGATGCGAGGTTGGCTGGTCTCGTGAACAGGCGAGGCCACCTCAGGATGCGATTCCCCCTCAGGGATGATAAGATAAGACGAGCCAGACATGGGGTAGGTAAGTCAACAACCGGATCGCAAGGATCGTCTTGTCGGGGCATTCGTATCATTTGATTCATCCCCTCTTCGAGAACAACACCGGACACGAGATAATGACCGTGGATATCCCGTGTTCGGTATGCGGGTACGACGAACGAGGACGGACAACGTTGAGCCGCGTTTGTCGACGGGCAGGCAGTTTGTCCCAGATATACACCTTTCCCGTGATATCTCGGCCAGCTCGCTGCATCGAAGATAGTCCTCCTGGAGGACATGCTAAAAGCCAATGGCGCCGCTCCCAAGCGCCTGGATGCAGTGGCTGCAGGAAGCCAGCTCCAATACGGGAGGAGGTCGGGTTGCACGGCGCTAGGCTAGGCGGCACTGCTTGGGGTGACCTGTAGCTAACCATTCGGTGCCGCATCTGCTATTGCAGGACACCTTTCCCTTCCACCTGTCAGAACTCAACTTGTGGCTGTGGAAGATCAGGCCAGCCAAAGACAAGGTGCGGTTCGCCATGCAGAGATATGTTGTTGTGACTTGATGGACAGCCAGCCGAGCATCTCCGGAGCCGAGTTACGGCGACAAAGGACAAAGTCTTTGCTCCGTCTGAGTTGGCCGCACCGCTCGGCCTAAGCGTGTAGACTTCTCACTTGCTGTTCCACTATTTCTCAACTGATGATGGCCGTTGCAGGTCCACGCGGGGATCTCGGAAAGTTGATGTCGCGGGATAAGCTAAGGTCACAGCACTGGCATCTTTTGGGTTCGGAACCGAAGAATGCCCCCCAGAAGGTCATTGCGTGCGGTGCGGAAGCCCCGAGACGCTTGGGGACGGTCCTCTTGGGAGAAAGTAAAGACGAGGTTACTCCTTGCAACTATCCAGAGCAATGACTTCGGGCCGGTAAGGGACGATAGGATGCTTGTCCTTTGATTAAGATAACTTTGACATGGCTCATCTTGAATCTACCAGCGCCTCGTTCGCACGTCTTTCATCAACGTTGAACCAGTGTTGGAGCGCATGGGACGACTTAGAGGTGCAGGTTCAAACGAATTTCCAGCGGCCGAGGCGAGCTTCACTGGCTTGACGGAGTATCGAAGTAGCATCGAGGAAACTGTCTACTGCTAATCTATTAGCTTCAATCTATTAGCTTCGGAACGTTGCGGCAGTTATTCGGTACCTCATGCGGGGGATGCCGTTGGCGAGAGCGAACAAGGGCCAGCGACAATGATGGCTTGTGACAGGCAACTGCGATGCGATTGGAAGGCACTACCAAGTCAGTCGCCCTCCCATCTCTCACCAGCCATCTCGGTCCTTGGTTACGAACTGGTGCAGAGGGAACTAGGATGCCTCCTGCAACTCGGGCTCCAGCACAAGCCATGATCCATGAGGCCATGCTGCCACTAGCGACTATTGCCATGCCGTGACATGCAATGCCATGTACTGCACGAGAAGCAGAGCGAACGACCTGAGCTTGTCTACCATTGACAATTGCTCGAGATGAGGAGGATTGGCCTGCTTGGTTCGGACAGGTTGAAAGATGGATTAGGCTGCTGAGTTTGGCGGCACATAGCTTCGGTACCCGTCCATCGGCAATCCTTGGACAGCCCGAGGAAATGGCGGGAGGGGTGAAGTCGGCGATGTATCGGTAGATGGAAGGTCGGTGACCGGCCCCGATGCAACGGCGAGAAGTGTATCTTGGAGGTTGAAGTACATACGATATATGGCATTAGAAGTGAGGAGAGGAAACTGGAGTTGATGATTGAGACGGGGCAAGATCAGGTACCTACGCACCTGAGGAAAGTAGGCAGGTAGGTACCTTTGGCATTTGTGATTTTGACGGCAGTTGCGTGGATGGGAGTTTTATTTTGGTTCTTCGGAAACTTCTCAGCTCCTTCCTTCCTTTTCTTCCTGCGACGATCCTACTCAGTTGACTTGTTTATTCGTCAGGTGCAATTCACCGTTCATCTTCCACAAGTAATTTGTCTAATGCAGTGTGGAAGGCAAGACAGTTGAGCAACATCCTTCTTGACTCGCTCGGAGCATCTGCTGTACTGTAGTGCGTGAGTACCTGAGGTAAATAGTCAGGTAGGTAGTCTAACATGAAGGTAGGCCGATCTACATCTCGACTTCTGCACCGCTCAACTTAGGTACGGAGTATTCACATCTGCCTTCACCGCGTTGCATCTACCTGACTCAGTTCCAGGAATTTTTTCAAATCACACCCTCCTGCGGTCTGCTTTGCGTCGTTGGCAAGTCCGCATGGATCGAATCCCGTCGTCTTGCTGCCACTAGCATTCAGAAAGTCACCTCATTTCCTCCATCACCAAACCACCGCTGACGTATATCACATTGCGCATCCTTGCCTTGAGAATCGAGGCACTCACAGCACTACCTTACGGATACGCTGCCGGTATTCGGATACCTTGCGCAATTTCAGCACCCTCGTTCCTATTCAGTCTCACCAGTGAACCCTCGTCAGCCACCGCCCCATGTTACTTTCGTCTCCAGCGCCATCATCCATGGCATTGGCAGCACTGATCGATAATCTCGACAAGCCATCTTAGGCTGTTCCGGGGCTGATCCGTCTGGAGTGATCCATTGACTCGGGACAAGCAGCCACCGGAGCCATGACTTATACGAATGCCCTACGGAACGAGAGACACACGAGAGGCGCGAGGCCCAGTCCGATCCAGTACAATCCAGTCTACACAATAATTAATCATCCCGACGTACATTCACCGCTTTCGGAGCCTCACAAACCGTCAACCAGTGTCATCGGCATTGTCCTGGCGCCCATTTGACACAAATCAGCACTGCCAATTACAGTTTTGGAGTGCCAGGACCAGCGCCAGCGTCATTACCGTACCGGTTCCCGAGCCATCATCGTCAGCGTCAGCGTCAGGCGCCAGCCTCTCTTCTCCAATCCAGTAATCCCGAGGCTCAAAGCCACCAGAGCGACGCCTCTCCCTCTCTCTCTCGTTTCGCCCACCCTTAAACACGACCCTGACTCCATCGTCCCCATCAGCGCTGTCTCGACCCCCGCTCCATCGGATCTACCAACCTACGGCTGACTACACCCACTACTGAGTCCTGACCACGGACCAACGATGACCTTCCTTCGGTTATACGGATGGTACCTGGGTACCTCGGACGCACACGTACGCTGTTCACTGCCTGTTCTCTTTGCAGCAGGGAAACGCCCACTGTTCCGGCTGAACAAAGAACAGGGAACCTCGACTTTGGTGAGTCGAGCCTCTCTTTCTTGTTGTACGGATACGCCCTACCCTGGATTTTCTGGTATTTCACTTGACCTCTCACACCCATATGGCTGTGCACCGATATCCGCCGCTTCCACTGCAACTGGAGCCGCTGCAACTGGAGGAGCCAGTACGGAGTACCCTTCCCAACGCATGACTTGACGAGTTGTCGTCAGTGTATCCGTACTCCGTACGCATACGCAGTAATAGTCTGCTGGGCTGGCTGGGGGCCCAACATCTGGCCCAAGTTTACGGACACGGCATCTCTGCTACGACCTCGAGTTCCATATCCCGTGCAAGGCCAAGTACGGATACCTCCTCTCGTCGTTGTTCCATTGGATTCTGCATGCGCAAACGGAAACGGCTACCTTAGCACTCTGCGTGGCATGGATAGCACTGGGGACACCGTGGACACCGTGGACCGCAGAATGGTCTGGCCGTGCATTGCATGGCAGCGCATCGGAGCGCACCTCAGCAGATGTCCATCTAGCGCGGATGAGTGCTTCCACTTGTCTAGCTGAGGAAGAGGAGGGAAGAGTGAGGAGGAGGGCCATGAGGTGTGTGTTTGCGTGTGTGGTGTTGTGGTCACACCCCCCACCGTCCAAACTGAAGACTTCAGAGTAACTCTCGCTCACTCCCGCAGCCACAAGCTCTCTCTTCCCGGCCGTGGAGTTGTAAAGTCCACCCAAGAGTGGCAGACTAACAGGCTGAAAGTGGTGAGGTAAGCCGCCTGGGAACGCCTCGCCTCGTTGCTTGGGTCTCCGTTTTAATCAATCCTGCATTGGCGCCTCCGATGAAGTGTGCCCTGCATGTCTATTTTCCCAATAAATAACAACATAATCCACCCCCCTCCCCAGACCAGACCCAAAGCTCCACCAGCCACCCTGTCCCCTGCTCCACGTCTGTTGTTCCTTGTCTTGTCTTTGGTTGTCATTGTGAGCGCTTCTCCCGCCTTCGACCTGGCGCCTGGCTTGCCCGGTTGGACCTGGACCCGGTCCTGCCTCTCTGCTTATTAGATCATCATTGACCGACTGACACAATTCGCCTCCAGTCTTCTTCTAATACTTCTACTCTCACTCAACACCTCTGATTCACTTTTTCCTCCTCTCCTTCTTTTCCTTCTTCTCTCTCTCACGTCTCCCTCATCCCACTTCGGTCTCTTCACACCTCCCGCCTCGCCACGCAAGCTGCTGGACCCCAACGAGTCATCCTCTGCGATCAAGTCCGATCTCGTCTCTCGACGTCGCAGTCTACAAACCCAACCAACGTCGCTCTCAGACGAGGACACCCGTAACCAAATCGTCTTCCCCCCAAAACAACTACCAATCATGCCTCAGAAGAAGATCCGCTGCACCTTTAAGGAGTGCAAGGATGCTGCTCAACGTATCGTTGGCGACTGCGGATTCTGCAACGGCCACTTCTGTGGCAAGCACCGCCTCTTAGAAGACCACAAGTGCGACGGCTTGGAAGACGTAAGTTTTACTTCCGGGTTACCATTCTCATGGTTATTAGGACTCGGTACTGTGTTGCAAGATGAAGGACTCATTTGCTAACTTACTGCTCAGTGCAAGAAGCAATCACATGAGCGGAATGCAGCACAACTCGAGAGCGAGCGCACGCAAGTTATCCGTGGGGTATAATCGGATCGACAACATCGAGACCGATCCTGATGGCATTCCGCCATGGCGCTCGCGTAGTCAAACACACATACACATGGCGAGGTGCCACGAGCTATCCCATAAGGCCGGATACAGCGTGGATTGCACCACACCAAGAGCTGTCAAGCCAGTCCGGGGCGCAAGGCTCACATCCTTATCGCACGTCCCACCCACATCTTTGGACCTCTGCACGACGCATGGATCAGTTATTTTCGACACAGTTATTTGCGAGATTTCGCAGCTCGCATTCATAATGCTGCAGCGGTAGTGACGGCGGCGACAACAGCGTTTCTGTTTGGTCTCCGCGTTATTTGCACGATTCAGAGCGGCATCCCGTCCGAATCCTTACACCAATGATGTGT